TAGTCAGATATTATGGTAATGCCGGCCGAATAATCTTATTTCGGGATCATATTAAAAATCCCGCGCGTGACGCGCGTAATCCCGCGCGGGATCACGCGCGGATCCCGCGCGGATCCCGCGCGTGCCCATCTCTAGTTATCAGGCATGCTCATAACTTAATTATTGGTCAAGAATTTTAAGGTTAGCCTAAAAATTGAATTCCGAAGGAATTCAATTTCTTAGTCTTGATCTTAAATCCTCGACCAAATAAACCAATAATCATTCTGCCACAAGATATAATATAGTAATAATATTATTAACGAATACAAGGAAAAATGGGTTACAGCAACTCACCAGAGGCGTGACTAGTATCCCTATCTCAAAAATTTTAATTATGAAACCGTCTTTCGCATTCTAACAAAAATTGTTCCTTGTACACTGTTGCATATTACTGATTTATAAATGTTACGTGTATTATGTGCATTACATATGCTATACAACTATACGTACTGTACGCGAAAAAAATTCGGATGTCATATAAATGGCACATCTATAGGCGTGACTATAGTGATTTGTGGGATATCGTGATAATAAGGAAATTTATCTTAAGTTAGTATCATATACTCCCATGCCTGGCATGTAAGTGTCGTAACCAACCTTGCCCAAGTTACGTCTTTTAAACAACGATAACTTTTAACAAACTAATAAAGTGGCTTAATTATCCGTAGTTATATTAAGCTTTATGTTGTGGCTCATCTTTTTGTTTTATATGTTGATTGTTCTCAATGACTTCAGCCGACGATCCTCATGCCTATCCAGGATTCCAAGAATTTGTTATTGTGGTGCGGCTTGTCTTGATTTTTGAAATGTACTTTTACCCCGAAAAATTCTAGTATCGCAAAAGTTATTCGATAATTTCTAGTTTCACCACGTTTCGCCACGTTTCCCCAGTTTCGTCATGTTTCGCCTAACAGTTATAGTTAAATGTTCCCCCTAATTTGGAACTGTCATTCCACTGTTGTTGGGTTTAATATTTTCCAAATGATTGTTATTTATCTATTTATAGTGCCGGGCTGATTGTTTGTATGGTATTTGTAATATATGGCTTTGTTACTTATCACGTAGAACATAGCAAGTGTTCATTTATCGAATCATTCAAAACTATTTTCGCAATTATTGAATAACACTTCCTACAACTATTAATTTCTCTAACAGAAATTTCTGATACAAGTTTGCATTTCCTGCCCAATTTATAGAACTCAAACCTCTCTCATAATAATTAATATGTCAGTAATTAAAGATAACCTCTTATACATTATTATTGTAGTAAGTCTGCTACCTACAGTGATTATTATTTTTGTATATGTTCTTTTGCGCGTTCGTCAGCGTCAAAGACATCAACAGTCTTTTGGTACTGTCGACTACTTTCCAACTAAAATCTTTTATAGCTCAAAGAGGAAAGAGAACGAACCACAAGAGTGCGTAGTTTGTTTAGAAGATTATAATGATGGGGATAAATTAAGAATTCTTCCTTGCAAGCATGAATTTCATGTTGAATGTATCGACAGTTTTTTAACAACAAGAAAGAATATTGTCAGTATGAAAATAATAATATCAGATTAGTATCAGAATTATCTTTATTATAGTTTACATTTTATTTATCACTTACACTAGTGTCCTATATGCAAACGTACTGTCCTTTCAAATGAAGAAATACCCACTTTACCGAGTCAAGAAGATCAAGAAGTCGGTTCATAATATTTATTATTTTGACTGTCCTAGGTATTCTTGTAGTCATATAGCCTAATATTAGTTTACAAGGATATATCAAAAACTAATATAATCGTATGAAAAATTTCAAATACTGTATTTTTATCAAAAAGCTGAAATAAGCTTGTGTTAATGAAAATTTGAATTTTAAGATTTTTTATAATCTCAAATTTATACCAACTATTTTGAATACTCTTTAGTATTGAATATGTCGTGCTTCAGATTCAAAGGGGTGTGAATTTAGAATCGAGTCGCATCAGATCAAATTTGAATCTGCAACGTGTCATACATAATAAATATAGTAATAATGATAAAATATAATGATAAAATAAATGAAATAACAGTAATTATAAAATGCTACTATGGTGTTTATGGTGTTGATAAGTTTTACTAAAATTTATGATTAGAGTGCAGTTACAAAGGTAGGCATTAGATATAAAGGTCTAAATTTTAGTATGTGTAAGGTTTTTGGGGTCCCGAACATTTAGTAAACCTGTAAAATGATAAAAAATTAAAAATAATTTTTTTTTGTTAGAACTAGATTCAATTATTTGGTTAAAGAATATATTAAAAACTTGCTATTTTACTAAAATTAATAATTCAAGTCAAAGTTACAAGTCAATTCAATCTGTCAAATTGAGTCTAATGAGTTTATTAATGTTACAAGTTAAATTCAAAAAGACAATTCATGCAGAAAGATAAGTATATACTTTTATTGATTTCAATCAATAGTGGATGAAAACTGTCCATACCTTTATTGAATATTGAGAACTTATACATATGTTAATTTTATAATGAAAATTTTATGAAATTTAAGAGTTTAACATTAATCTAAGATCTCGGGGAGCAGAGTTTTACATAAGAAATGTAAGTGTGTATGTGATATTGTGCATTTACGTAATTCAAGTGCATCAGCCACTAAGCTATTACTAATTACTAAATTTAGATACATGATAGAAAGACAAAAGAAATAAATATTATATTTGACGATAATACTAAAACGGAACCGAAATTGAAAAAGATATTTTATATACAATTTGATAATAAAAAAGATAAAGAAAATTTAAGCATCAATTATATTTGGTACAATATATATTATAAGAATTTAGCTTCTTTGCCGTTGGTATCTTTACTTACGTACCAAAAATTTTTCTTTATTATTAATCACTCTTTTTAAAAATAAACATAACATGCGTGTTAATAATGATATTTGGAATCATACAAAAATTGGACCAGATGAAAGCTTTAACAAAAGACGTGCTAAATGTAATTATTGCGATTATACCTTGCAAAAAATCTATAGAAATTCACTATTTTGATTGGTCAATGGCAAAAATCAAAAATTTAGACAAAATTCCTCTAATTTTTACTAATGAAATCGTGGCCGCCATTAAGTGAAATGAGGCTGGGAAAATTACCGTAATTTTAGTAATTTTACGTAAGTTTGTGCAAGTTCAGAAATCAAAATTACATGTAATTTGTAAGAAACGTGATCATTCTATTGACACGAGCGAAACGAACGGCTTAGTTGGAGAGTGGTGTGTTTATGATCGTAGGCTTTACAATATAGCGAAAGCAGGAAAGTATTAGGGTCAACTTCTATTGCAAGCACGAAAACTACTTCTAATGTAGGCTCAAAGCCTTTATTATATATTGTTCCATTACATATGCGCTCCTATATAGAGATGGGAAAATCGAGGTTTTTTTGAATCTGCTGCGCAGCCTGCACAACCTCAGTCCCTAGAGACTTTTACTCATTAGGTTTTGCGTTTATATATATAAAACATCTACTTCATATATGTAAAGTTGGGCTCTCATCATTTTTAATTAATGCTCCAAGGTTAGTTTAAACGTCAGTTTTTGTTGTTTTGCGTTTTTTTGCACTTTTTTCTCTGCATATCGGTGAATTGATAATTCTGGTCAAATTTGCAGATCATTTGGCCAGATCTAGAACAAAAACAACTTTAAATGTGGTCAAATGATCTGCACGTTTGACCATAATTATGAACGATGGATTCTATTAATCAGGTGATGCAGATCCGTTTTGCTTTCGGGCCGATCCGAATCGATTTCCGGTTGGTAATTCAAACCTGGATTATAAAGCTGGCCAGAATTATGAAAATTGCACTGCGTAGCCTCAAAAAATGCCTGCGCAGTGTCCCATCTCTACTCCTATAGCTCTTAAACATATTAAACATATTATCTCCCTTTAATGTCCTATATTACTTAAAGTCCTCAATTATCATATATCCCTTTAATTATTGTTTTCTCTTAAAACCCGTATTACCTTATACCCGTTAATAGCCCTAAACGACTTTTACGACCGATAATCCCGGGAAACTAGATGATCGACATAGCCATTCATTATTACTGCGCCACGTCGATCCCTCCTTCCATGTGCTTCCGGGATCACGTTTCACGGCTCACACTATTATATAATTCAATATGATTGCTTCGATTATAACGACAGCTAAATTGTCATGGTGCTGGCATTATATATCACACGCGTGAATTTACATGTAAGCTTGGAAAATGTAATTTTCTATCCTAAGTGAAATATGTTCCTGGGTTAATTACACAGGCCCAAACCATAAATTTTCCATTTTCACAATTAAAAAATTAAAAATTGAATTCCGACCAAAATTATGTATAATGCGGACCAAAATTTTGTTGATCACAGCCGTTGGCCAATCAAAATCGAACGGGATGCGATCACGCGATTGCCCATCTCTATGAGCAGTGTGCATATTAACATGAGGCTAACACGATAGCGTGGTGCCTCTGATGACAAGAGGAAGTTCCGAAATGTGTTTCTTTCACATCCATCAAATGCATAAAAAATGAAGCGTTTATTTTAATAAACAGAAGAATCTCGTTTCCTATCATAAAGTATAGATTTTCGCTCATTAAGTTCACACCATCATTAAGTCACCCTAGTGTTGTTAGGCGAAACTATTTTTGGTAAATGGCGAAAGTCGAAACTAAACCCGGCGAAAGTCGAAACTGGCG